GGATTTGGAGCCTATTTATAGTTTTTGAAAAAATACTATGCATAATAAAATATTAATATTTTACTAAACTGTGGGGCCTGCCATTTTTGTTTCTTTTCCTTTTCAAACTTTGATGCTGCTTCTTTCGGTGATTTGAAGTGAGGTGGGGCCCGATCCAATAATTGTCAACATATGCGGCTGAGTGCTGACAATCTCCCACTTGAAGATTGAATTGAGTATCAATCATATCTTCACATCATTCTTTCTATCTTGCCATTTTCATGTTGCTTACGTCTCCGTCAGGTCACAAGAGGATCGACACCAAATAAATTTGTCGGTATGGACTGCTTTTGTTAAAAAATCAGCTAGGTTGCCTTTGGTGTGAATTTTTTACATATCCACTGTTCCTTCTTCCACTTTCTCATGAACGAAGTGATACTGAACTCGAATGTGTTTGGTCTTTGAATGAAATGCTGGATTTCTTGCCAAATGCAAAGCACTCTGACTGTCATAAAATAGAGATATCTTCTTTTGTTCATGACCGAGTTCCTCCAACACCATCTTCAACCACATCGCTTCTTTACTAGCTTGTGTAGCTGCTACATATTCTGCTTCTGTTGTTGAAGTGGCCACAACTGACTGCAGTTTTGAAACCCAGCTTACAGCTCCGCCAGTAAATGCAAACACATAGCCTGTGGTGGATTTGCTATTATCATGATCACCTGCATAGTTAGAATCAATATATCCACTGACAATAAAATCAGGTCCCCTATAACATAATGCAACATTTGAGGCTCCTTAAATGTATCTTAGAATCCTCTTTACAGCATTCCAATACTCTTTACCAGGATTCACCATGTATCGACTAACCACTCCCACTGCTTGTGCAATGTCTGGTCTTATACAAATCATAGCAAACATTAAGCTTCCCACTGCTGATGCATACAATACTCGAGACATCATCATCCTCTCTTCTTCACTGCTAGGACTTATACTGAAGGATAACTTAAAATTAACAGAAAGTGAGGTAGAAATTGACTTACAATCTTGCATGTTAAAGTGCCGCAAGATTTTCTTCAAATAGTTCTTCTGAGAAAGCCAAATCTTTCTATTAACTCTGCCTCGGTAAATTTGCATCCCTAGAATCTTGTTTGCAGATCCTAAATCTTCATTTCAAATTCCCTAGCCAACTGAGCGTTTAATTTTTTAATACGATCTTTGTTGGGGCCTGCAACCAACATGTCGTCAACATACAACAATAAGATAACAAAGTTATTTTCACCAAACCTCTTGAAATATGCACAATGGTCTGAATTAAATTTGTTGTATCCAAGGCTCATGATGAATGAATCAAATCTCTTATACCAACACCTCGGCGCCTGCTTTAGACCGTACAGAGATTTGTTCAATCTGTAAACCAAGTTCTCTTTTCCTTTTTCTTCAAAACCTTTTGGTTGGAGCATGTAAATTTTTTCTTCAAGATCTCCATGAAAAAATATTGTTTTCACATCTAGCTGCTCTAGATGTAAGTCAAATAGCACTCATAGCCAGGACTATTCGGACTATTGTAAGTCGAACTACAAGAGAAAATATTTTATTAAAATCAATACCTTCTTTCTGAGCATATCCTTTTACCACCAATCTAGCACGATATCTCTCCACTTGATCATCGTCATTTCGCTTGATCTTGTAGACCCATTTGTTTCCAATGATCTTTCTTCCTTGTGGAAGTGACACAAGTTCCTAAGTCTTGTTCTTATGGAGAGCTTCAATTTCTTCCTACATTGCTGCCATTCACAAATATGCATCTGTGCCATTTGTAGCTTCATGAAAAGTTGATGGCTCTCCATCTTCTGTTAGAAGACAGTATGTAACATTACTCTCTGTAATATACTCCGAGTGCCAAGTCGGTGGTCTTCTCTCACGAGTTGACCTTCAAATTTCTGAAGCCTCGGACTCGATCGGTTCTTGTACATCATGCTCCGGTGTTGCTTTAGAAGAATTCAGATTATCTTCTACCTGAACAGCTATAGTCTCTGAGTCCTTCCTCGAACTGCTTTCTTTCTCTTCACTTTGTAGTTGGTTTTCTACAAAGATAACATCTCTGCTGATGATAACCTTGCGGGCAGTGGGATCCCATAGGCGATACCCCTTTACTCCATTAGCATACCCCAAGAATATACATTTTCTAGATTTTGAATCCAACTTTGTAATTTCTTGGGCATTGTACATTACGTACACTGGACTTCCAAATATATGGAGGTTGGAATAATCAACTGGCTTGGCAGTCCACATCTCCATCGGCGTCTTTAATTGTATTGCAGTTGATGGAGATCGATTCACCACATAATAGGCGGTTTTTACTGCTTCCGCTCAAAAGACTTTATCCAGATTTGTAGTTGTCAACATAGCTCTTGTTCTTTCCAACAGAGTTCTGTTCATCTGCTCCGCCACTCTATTTTGTTGAGGAGTATAAGCCGTACTGAATTGTCTTTTAATGTCTTCATGCTTGCAGAATGCTAGGAATTCACCGTCTATGTATTCTCCTCCATTATCTGACATCAAGCACTTGATCTTCTTCTCAGATTCAAGATCGACCCGCGCTTTGTAGGTTTTAAAGACTGAGAACACATCCGCCTTCTCCTTGATAGGATACACCCAACATCTCTGGAGTAGTCATCAATAAAGGACACAAAGTACTTTGCTCCTCCCAAGGATGTAACCGGTGCTTGCCATACATCAGAATGAACCAATTCCAGAATAGCCTTGCTTTTGGAACTCGATGTGTTGAACTGCAGTCGATGCTGCTTACTTGTAACATAATGCTCGCAGAATGGAAGAGCTATCGAATTAAGTCCAGGAATCAGCTTCTGATCGGAGAGAATCTTCAAGCCTCGTTCTGACATGTTGCCTAGTTTGCGATGACACATCATGGTTTGTTCTTCTCCACGACTGGTTGATGCCACACATGAATCAGCTTCCTGTAGGATTTCTCCTGTGAGCATGTATAGATTTATAGCTATCTTCTCTCCTTTTATTACCACAAGCGCCCCTCTAACAATCTTCATGATCCCGTTTTTCTATATGGGTCTTGCACCCAAACTCATCTAATTGTCCTAAAGACAATAGATTCTTGTTCAAGCCCTTCACATGTCGCACATCTTGAATGGTGCGTATTATACCATCAAATATTTTGATTTTGATAGTGCCAATACTAGAAATCTTCAAGGCATGATCATTCCCCATGAATACAGATCCTCCTGAGATAGGTTCATATTTGTGAAACCATTCTCTCTGGGAGGTCATGTTCCAGGAGGCTGCTGAATCCAGAAGCCAGACATTAGCAAACCTCTTCCTGCCTTCATCAACACTGGTTGCTCCACTGAATAGAATTTCACCATCGTCTGATGTGCTGACAACGTATCCTTGAGATGTTGATGGCTCTAAAGACTTTTTATCTCCACTCTTCTTATTGTGCCAACACTCCGAATTGATGTGCCCTCTTTTGCCATAGTTGTAGCATTTGATATTCTTCTTACTTCGTGATTTTGATCTACCATGGGTATGACTCCCACTGGAGCCATATTCCGTTGATCTTCCTCTCGTCACCGTTAAAGCCTCCGCTTGTTACGAACTTGCATGCATGTCTTCCTTATTCTTGCGCCGATTTTCTTCCTCCAGAACAGCGGCTACAACATCGTCGAAGACTAGATTGTCCGTGAGGCGTTGTTTGTCGGGTTGATGATGAGTTGATCATACGAGTCAGGTAGACTCTGAAGTAGAAGTTCTGCACGTTCATTCGCACCAACTATACCCCAACGTTGTGAGTTGGGAGAACAGTGTGTTTAGGGTGTTGATGTGGTCGGTCATCGATGTAGACTCCTCCATCCTCAGAGTGTAAAGTTTCCTTTTTAAGAAGATTTTATTGTGCATGGATTTCGCCTCATATAGCTTTGTTAGAGTATCCCAGATCTCCTTTGATGTCTTCTTCTTCTCTATGCTTGACAGCACTCCGTGTGCTAATGCCAGATGGAGATTTGCAATAGCATTTTTGTCAATCTCGTTCTACTTCTTATCATCTGTGATGTCATCTGGCCTTACACCGATGGCCGCCAGACAATTATCTTTTCTCAAGATAGTCTTTATCTTCAACTTCCACGGTGAGAAATTACTCCCGTCGATTTTCTCGATCTTGAACTTTGCCACCATTGCTTCTATCATGAACAGTAACTTCTTACTATCTTACATAAACAGTAACTATATTTATGAATAGTAACCATATCTGTGAATAGTACCGTTCTTGTGAATAGTACTGTACTCGTGAATAGTACCCTTCACCTTTAAAGGGTAAATGATAACCTAACTTATTTTCTGATGTAGAGGATCCACCTTTGATGGCAGCCACAGAGCATACGATAAGTAGATATATACAATCACTCTAAGTTATCTCTGATACCACTTGTTGGGACAAACCCGGGGCCTAATAGAGCAGTATCGTAGCAATAGTAAAGCAAAAGTAGAGATAAAAAGTTGGACACACAGATTTACGTGGTTCGGCACTTGATTGTAAGGCAGAAGTATCCTTAACTTGGGAGCTTAAAGGAGGTAAGGCAGAAGTATCCTTAACTTTTGTGAACTAAGGTCCGTAAAGTTTTGAGGACGAAGCTTATTTAAGGTAGGGATATAGAGAACCGGTTTTCTCTATAATAAATAAGGAAAATCAAGAGTTTCCTAACTAATGCAGTAAGTTAAGAGTTTCAATTAGGCCATTTTAGTATCCTTAATTAACTAGGATTAAGTTGAGTTTACAAAATGCTAAAGGGCATGGAATTTCTTATAGCTAGTGAAAACCTTATATTTCATTCACACAAAGAGAAGAGAACAACTTTTTTTCTTGATATCTGAGAAGGATAGAAGGAAGAGGAGGAAGGAGACATAGGCTTCTAAAGGTGAGTTATTTAAATTTATGTTATTTTGCTTTGGTTTCATATAGAAAAAAAAAAAAGAAAGGAAAAAAGTACCCTTTTCAGACAACTGAGGTTGTCTCCAGCGATGTTCAACAACTTCCTACTATCCCTTAGCTGAGGTTTTCCTGGTGATGACCATCGTGGCCTCCAAACTCCAAAGATCTCTTTTAGGTTGATAAGTAGACAACAAAGAGATCAGGATGAGGAATGGATAATTTCATCCAACCCCCTTAATATAGAATCTGCTTTTGGTCTAGCTTTGTTCTAAAACAAAGAACAGATGCATTTTTTAGTCCCAGGAAATTAGAAACATTAGTTTCATATCCAGAATAGTTTATAATTAGAATTTTCAGTATTTATACATATTTTATGCTTGTAGATTTGATCGAGAAGTAGATTTTTGGAGTACGGTTCTTCAAAAGCAGTAGAACATTCTTGAGGTGAGTAGATTTTTTTCTCATTAGTTATTTTAATCTATTATATGTTATCTTAAATATTATTTTTATTTTTATATAGAGAAACTATTGGATCAAACATGTTAATTTTGTTTCGCTTAGAGATAATTGCTAAAAGAATTTGACATTGTGCAGTTATTTATTTCTCATAAGATATCTAGTATGCAAATTATTGAAATTAAACATGTTCTCAATTATATTTTAAAACTACTGTTCATATGCCATTTATTGAAAATTTGTATATTTGACGAATATAATTTAATTAGTATAGATCTATTAATATTCTATTTTCATGAAAAATATATGAGAAAGTCTACCAAAGTGTTAAGCATATTATATTGCTTTTAATACAAGTGAAAAATTGCAAGTGGTACTTTGAGGGAAAAGGAAGTACTTTTAAATGTTAAAAATCATCAGAAGTCCACTATGAAGTGAAGTGATTTGTTTATACCTACCATATGGTATTGAATGTACTGATTAATGTTGAAGTGCCTTTTTGGTAAAAGTGAAATGGCATTCGGGCAACATATGGTAGTGTTAGGTATATTCTATCTCCGAGTTGACCTAAAGTGATCTATGCTCAGTCTCATGCTACTATGCTAAAATTTTGGTAGCCTTACTATGACAACTAAGGAAGTTTTGCAAGTGTGATTTTAAATCGACATTTACAGTTTAAAAGTATTTAGTACTCAATTTGTATTGATTTCATAAATTGTTTTCCTTATTGTCTTATGCAATACAAGAATTTTTTTTTTATCTTATATGCTTCTTAAATCATTCTCAATAGTAGTTTACTTAAAGTTAGTACTGATAATTTTTTAAAATTGTTTGATCCGTTAATGATAAGTTATCTACTCACTGAGTATAAACTCACCCCACTTATTTTTTATCTTTTTCAAATGAGAATTAGACATCTCCAACTATAGCTTGGACTTTTGGGGACATGAGAAGGGTCTATGAGAGAGTGCTTTAATGCTTAGATTTTATAGTTGTTATATTAGTCACTTTTATGTTATGTAAGAGTCTTTTGACTCATTAGAGTGATCTTGTTATGATATAGTTTTGCTTTGTGACTTCTATGTGTCAATAAAGTTTCTTTTAAGTAAAGTTTTATTTGAATTATGGAAGTGAACCGCAGGCTTTGCATGTGCTTTCGCACGTGCCGCCGTTGTCACGCGCTACAAAATATGCTCCGCATTTTGGAGGCATAACAATACATTCATCCAAAAGAACTCTCCTTTTATATACCCACATATCTAGCTCAGTACCCACCTGATAGTTTCTCACCAATTCATCGAGTCTATACAGTTGTGCTCCGATGTATGATTTCTTGCATGTCAATACGAACAATATGTGTAACATCTACTACTATAACCAGAAAAATTCAACATATAGTTACACATGTCATAGGTACATGGAGAGCAAAAAAGGACAATGATAGGTAGTGGCTCGAGGGGACTTCATGAATGTATAATATTTTCATGTGATGACTGTCTTCTGTTTATATAGCACAAACCTCTGAACTGTAACCTCTTATCAATAATACAAAAAGGTTTTTGATACATGTTTTCGGCCTTCAAATTGGTGCTTAATGTCAGCTTTACGTAAAGATTCCAAGTTGCTCTTCAGATCAGTTTCTCCGCTAAACAGAGTGCCACGTTCTCGAGAGATCAAGAAGGTGAACTTTGCACGATATAGGAAAACAAACTGCTCCTCCCCCTGTGTTCTATGAGCAGTATCTGCAAAACAAGCAACCACCATCTGTTAGAATCCAGTTTTGGAGAAGTTACGTTGATTACACTAGTTTAACTTATAATTTAGTGCCTAGAAATGTATACATAATGATAAATACATGTCTCATATCTTAGCCAAATCCTAATGTACATATTAATATACATCATGTAATGTGCATAGTGTACTATAGATAATACATGATAGGTGTATATAGATCTACATTATTGGTCCTCTGCATTTTCCAGTTTGGTTTAGGTCTGGATTAATATAGGGCATGGGTTAACCTGGTTTCTGATGAAAAATGATGCCCTCTGCTGAGGCTCTGGCACGCTTCCGAGGTTTCTAACCCCACTATTTGAGGTAGTTTCGGGTTTACACCAGAGTCATTGAGCACCCTAGCTCTCAATAGTTGATTAAAATCCTAGCATTGATCTCAGTATAAATGCAGGTGGTTCTTTCCTCGGAATTTACTGCAGATGTCTGGGCATAGATGTAAACCAGTAACAAAGCTTAAAGTAGTTTATCAAAAAACAAAGCTTAAACTAGACTAATAAACAAACTAAAATTATCTATTTGGGTAAACAGCTAATATATGTCCGATAGCACAAACATATATGCTGAAGGGGGGGAAAGGAAACACGAGACTATCTGTCATAAGACAAGCTAGAGTACAAAAGGTGGTTACAAAATAAATATAAAAACCTATGATGACCAGGAGCATATGGTCACCCCAATATGAGAAAACTTCACGCGGAAGTTTTTATGCAGCTAGCATAGACTAAAATGTAAAGAGTATTATGCTACATATTGGAATATGAATGAATAGAGCAATTTTTTTTGAAGATTGGCTCTTATACACTGATGCCTGGATATGCAAATGCTGAACGGCCAGCACCAGGAGAATATCTAAAAGTGGAGTAAAAGAAAGCTAAGAAAAACATAAGTTGAAGCTCAAATAATCAGTTTTGAACACACAACAGATAAAGTCGGAAGAAAACTCTCTTACATATTATCTAATAGAACAAAGAGCATCGACCTAATAGTGCTCCTTCAGAAATGCATATGTAGGATGAGTGCTCCTTCAGAAATGCATAGGTAGGATGAGACAAGCGGGCATATGACAAGATGCAAGCTAGAATTTGTTACATAAATAGATATGAGAAGAGATGTTGTGCTACAATAATGAAATGTACTGATAACAGTATTTGAAGTGAATGGAACATGAATAAGAATAAAATCGTTGTAAGTTTATGTTCACACATTCATACGTCTGCATCATTTATTCATAAATGATGAATGACAACAACAAGGAAGACTCTAAAATAGGATATAAAATGCAAACAGTAGACTAACAAAACTCAAACATAAACAACTTTTGGACACACAAAACAAGGTAAAAAAAGTAATCCTAAAATTAGGTGTGAAGCGTAAGAAACTCAAAATGAAATTATGATATCTTCTGTCCCGTTTCAACTTGAGCAGGTGAAGTCGTTATTAGCAAATGTTGATGAGATAAAAGTTTAAATTAATCCTCTCAAACAAGAAGCATTCCAGAACAAAATTTTCTGAATTGTGTTTTTTCTTCGTTTCATAATTGTTAAATACTGTGATCTGTAGCCATAGAAGTCAACAAGGAATTGAAACAGGCAGTCACAGAATCAGCTGCAAGTAATAACAGTTTGTATTCATTCACTGCAATGTGAAATTCTTTTCTTTCTTTGCCATATTTATTAATTTATTCAAGGATAAATACCAGGGGGAAAAACCCTCAACTTTGGAGCATTATCATATCTCCCCCAACAACTTTCAAACCAAAAAAAGCTTAGGGGTTATCAGAAAACCCACTTCAACTTTTTCTGAGAAAACACCCATAAAGGATTGAACCCAGTGGTCACTGGCAAAATATCCCCCAGCATATAATATCACCCACACACTTGAAAATTGTGATAAACACTGTTTGGC